CCAGATTATGATATGATTTCCTTCTGTGTTGTGCCCGGTGTAATTATTGTGCAGTCAATGAAAGGCGCTTTCGGAAATCAAACAGCTTTACTGAAATTCTGAACTCTGTGTTTAGCTGTCGTCGTGGTTTGTATTTTTTTATCATGGGAAAGGGGTCTGATGTGGGCTGGGAAGCCAGCAATGGTCTTGTGTTAATTGATATTATGGTTTTTATATAAAATTGACATAATAAATTGTTTTAAGAAAACCAAAAGCCCTTTTCTCTGTGTATGGCTCTGCTGGTTTCACTGCCTGTGTCCATGCTCAGAGGCCAGCTGGCCCCACAGAGGGTCTGATGTGGGCTGGGAAGCCAGCAATGGTCTTGTGTTAATTGATATTATGGTTTTTATATAAAATTGACATAATAAATTGTTTTAAGAAAACCAAAAGCCCTTTTCTCTGTGTATGGCTCTGCTGGTTTCACTGCCTGTGTCCATGCTCAGAGGCCAGCTGGCCCCACAGAGACGTTCCTCGGCGCAGCCACGGCCGCTGCTGCCTCCAAAGGGCAGACAGCAAACGCCCGGTTCTGTGTAACAGGGGCAGATCCACACCAGAGCACGTGTTTTCTCATCACCAGGGGCCGTGAGGAGGCAGGGCTGGCAGCTAACAGCAGGTCACGGCTTTGCCCGTCTGCCTGGAGGAGCAGGAAAGGAAGGAGCAGGACAGGGCGTGAAAACCGGGCTCGTGCTTTATCGTGGTGGCCGTGTGTGTGTGCAGCGCCCGGCTCAAGGCCCTGCCCTGCGCAGGCCACGCAGCAGAGGCGAGGCTGTTAGCCAGCGTGAGAGACCACTGGTGTTTGTCCAGGCCTGTAATGGCCGTGACCTCCCTGCGGAGGACCTGCCCGGTAAGGAAACAGAAAAGAGGAACGTGCCCCGCGGTGCCTGCAGGCTTGCAGACGCATCGCAGCCTAGGAGGCTGGCAAGGCACTCGCAGTCGTCCCGCCGACTTATGTGCTTTGCAACACCCACGTAAGCTGTTTTATTCCAAAGGCAGGTCTGGCCGCTGACCCCGAGTAATGGGTAATGCCCATCCCGCACGCCTCCGCGCGCCGATTGCGATACGGAGACGCGTTTGGGCTCTCCCTTCTTAGACAGAAGCGCTGGTTCCTCTCTGGAAGCTGCTAACTTTTGCTGGATGCAGCCGGAGCCTTGTTGCTGGCG